AACAGTCCAATTATTATGAATGTGGACTGCGACATGTATTCCAACAACTCGGGGTGCGTAAGAGATGCCATGTGCTTTTTCATGGACGAAGAAAAGGGCCATGAAATTGCTTATGTACAGTATCCACAGCACTTTCATAACCTCAAGAAGAATGATATTTACGCCAGTTCCTTCCTAGTAGAACTGGAGGTATATATGTAGGCATATCATCCTTCTTTATCTTTAAGATAATACTTCTTCTGGTTTATTTTAGTTGTCGCTTTGGCTTTTGCACATAATTTTAGATAATGTTGAGGTAATTATCAATTAACACCAAATTATATTTGCGTGACAATTCTCTGTGGTGGTTATATATATGAAGCTGGAAATGTTAGGAGTTGATGGAAATGGAGGACCTTGCTACCTCGGCACTGGCTGCTTTCATAGGAGAGACGCCCTTTGTGGGAAAAAGTACTGTAAAGAACTAAAAATTAACAGGGCGGAAGTGAATGATAAGACTAAGATTGAAGAAAGTGCAGTTGTCATAGAAGAAACTTGCAAAGTCCTTGCAAGTTGCACCTACGAACAAAACAAGCAATGGGGAAAAGAGATGGGTTTGAAATATGGGTTTCCTGTAGAGGATGGAATTACAGGACTATCCATTCAGTGCCAAGGTTGGAGATCCGTCTACACCAATCCAGAAAGGAAAGGCTTCACAGGTCTTGGTCCAACAACGTTATTGCAGACACTTATACAACAGAAGAGATGGTCTGAAGGTCATTTACAAGCCTTCCTTTCCAAGTACTGTCCCCTACTGTATGGACACAAAAAGATTCCCCTAAAACTCCAACTTTCATATTGTCCTCACAATATGTGGGCCGCAAACAGCTTGCCTACCTTGTACATTGTAGCTGTCCCATCACTTTGCTTGCTCAGAGGAATCTCCTTGTTTCCTAAGGTATGAATTACCCGATCAAATATTTTTTATAGCCAGTCGGAATTGGAAATACATTTTCTCATATATTAATTTAGAATTGTAATGCTCAATATCTTTGATATATAATTAATCAGATATCAAGTCCATGGGTGATACCATTTGTCTACGTGGCATTTGCTCACCGTGCATATAGCCTTGGAGAATTTTTATGGCTTGGAGGCACATTGAAGGGCTGGTGTAACCTGCAAAGGATATGGGTGTTCAAAAGAACAACATCCTACTTGTTTGGCTTCTTTGACACAATCCTGAAGCTGTTTGGGTTTTCTGAGCAAGTCTTTGCCTTGACAGCCAAGGTAGCTGATGAGGATGTTTCAGAGAGATACGAGCGAGAGGTGATGGAGTTTGGTGCTTCTTCACCCATGTTTAGCATCATAGCAACACTTGCATTGCTCAACCTCTTCTGCTTGGTGGGGACTCCACTTAAGAAGGTTATTGTAAAGGATACCAATATGGTAGAGGTTCTGGATCAATTTGGGTTGCAAATCCTTGGTTGTTGTCTTTTGGTAATGATCAATCTGCCTGTATACCAAGCTCTCTTCTTCCGGAGGGACAATGGAAGACTGCCTCCATCAACGACATACCAGTCAATGATTATTGCTCTATTAGCTTGTGCAATAGCCATATATTGAACTCCATTCAAGAGCCAAGCAACTCTATCTCTACATTTCCAAGACAGAATAATTCACTTGTTGTTAGTTTTTTCTTCCTCTTTTTTTTTTTTTCAGTTTGTATAATGAGAGGTGATTATTTTTCATTTTATAAAACAACTCACTCTTAAACTCAAAATCAATCTCTTATTTTTATTGAAAAAGAAATTATCATCAAATTATTTAGATAGTTAGCATAATTCACTTGTTAGATTTTAGGGATGTCTTACAAATTGGTAAATAAATTATCTTTGTATAGCTATGGTACTACGAAAAGAATATAAATGATTTTCTTAGCACATTGGCCTTGGCAATTATTGTTGTTTATACTATTTTATATGAAAAAATTATATCAATGCCGAGACTAAATATATATATTTATTATGCTTGATAAATCATTATATATGTTTAATCGGATATATATAATCTTTTCTTTCTATTACATATTATATAACGGCCACAGTTGCTATCATCATCCTACTTTTGCATATGATATTCACACTCATGGTGCAGCCGTTTACAAAGGAAAATGATATATGAGAGAGAATCACATGAGGGGAGGCACCATAGCGAGTAGGAGAAGAGATCAATGGTTTTCTCAATCTTAAGCCTGTTTGGATTAACTATTAGAAACAATCAAGGATGGATCATTAGGGTCAAAGGTCTAGTCCCCTTAAGGTTTTGGGAAAAAATTAGTATATATGATGGGAAAAGGAAAAATCACAATGTCGTCCAAGTGATAAAAATGTCAAAACGTACAATAATAATTATATGATAAATTTAATATATTAAGATTCACATTATACTCTATATGTTTATTTGTTCTTATTAGATATTTTGATATTTTTAATATTTTTAATATTAAGATGTTTTGATTTTTTTCTTTTCTCACATATGATATATGATAAATTTTGTTTTTGGTAGTTCTCATATTTAATTCATTGTCAAAGAAACAAACCATCACTGTTTTCTTTGTAGTGCTAAAATTAATTTGTCTTCTTTGTAATACTAGAATTAATTTGCATTTAGATCATGATTTAGTGTTTGATACCCCACAATTGAAAAAGTGTGAATTTTCCTAAAAACGAACAGCAAAGTGACAGCAACATGGGCTGCAAGAATGTTGAATTTTCTTGGGGATTTTTTTTTTTTAAGTAGAGAGAGAAGTTCGAGGAGAGAGACACCCAAAGTTCCGTTTTTTTGATTGAGGTAAAAGCCAAGTTTTCTTCTGTTGATGTTATGCCATTTATAGCAAAAACAATATAAAATGATAAAGTATCAATTATCGAATAAAAAAATCAATTATAAAATATCATTGTTATATATTGTTATAAATCATTGTAAAACAAATATTATAAAGTATCATTTAGGGTTGTTCGTGATGTGATTTGGTTTTGATTTTAAT